GGACACTCAACTTGAGGGGCTCAGCTGCACACATTCCTTGAAGCCACACAGCCCACCCTCCCGACGGGCATCTAGCCTGTGGCCGCTGATCACGCTCAGCTCAAGGTGACCAGTGACGGGGCTGATGCGTCTGACTGACACCTCTGGCTGAGGCCGGGGCCGTGTCTCTGGTGGGCTGTGCCCAGTGTGACCGCTCCTGCGATGTCCACACAGCGGTGCGCGCATGCCCAGGTGCACAGGCACATAGAATCACACCGATTTGTCTACAAGAGGCCTCCTAGGCTGGCTGGGGCTAGAACTCCAAGTACAGGGGCAGGATTACGGTTTGTGCCTCCTGTCCCTTCCCAGGAAAGCGATGGAGGAGGAAGTAGCTGGTGTTTGGGGGGAGTGGGCCGGGTGTCTTCTTCCCAGAGTTACTGGTTAGATGTGTAGGAGGAAGAAAAGGCTTTGCAGTTAGAGGGAGCAGCACATGCAAAGGCCCTGAGGTCTGATGCATTTGGCAATTGTCCCTTGGGCCTGAAAGGGAATGCAGTGCAGAGCTGGGCCCTGGGAAGATGGATGTTTGGAGGCCGAAGAGAGGAGGCCCATTTCTGTATCACAGGGAGTTCCAGCTGCAGGCGAAGTGGCAGAAGTAGAAAGTGGGTGGTGGCAGACCCGTGGGAGGTTTGGGGGTGCCTCCAGATGGGTACGGGACCCCTTATGCTTCTAAGCCCCACGGCTAGCTTTATCTGGGTGGCTGTTGGGGCACAGGAGAAGAAAGGCGGAGGATGAGAGTGGGAACAGACAAGGCTCTTCATGGGCCTGCCCCATCAGGGCGGAGGTCTGGCCTGAGGGGCGCCCACGGCTCAGCCTGGTCCCCACAGCCTCCCTCCTCCCCCAGCCGCCGGCCCCAGCGTGGCCAGACGCCGCCGTCCACGGCGGCCGAGAGCGCTTTATCAGATAATAAATAAGGCGGCTGGAGCCGTCCGTGTCAACAGCTTGGCGGGGTGCAGGGCCTTGCCTGGGCGGCCTCCACGTGGCCGCGGAGAGCCTGACACCCCTCCTCGGTGTGTGAAGAGCTCCCCAGTGCCCGGCGTCTGGGGTGTGAGGCCCCAGACTCACTGTCCCCGTTGTGGAACGGGGTCCGGGCATGGCGAGAGGGGCTGCTCTGGAAGGGCCTGGATGGGCCCAGCAGACACGAAGCCCGGTCTGGCCAGGCGGCGGGCACCGCCCAAGGTGCATGTGGGCCGCAGCCAGGCTGCAGTGGAGCCTCCCTCCTGCTCCGTGTTTGGCTGAGCCTCAGGAGCGGGCACCAAGGCGCTGGCCGTCACCCACGCCATGCTCTGGCCACCCTTCCAGGGGCTGGTGGCGCCACGTACCAGACACGGGTCTGCCTTCCCCAGAAGCATGGGGCCTGGGCCTCTCGCAGGAGAGCACGGTGCTGGAGCTGGAGCCGGAGCCAGAGCCGGGGCCAGAACCGGGTTTGGAGCTGGGGCTGGAGCTGGAGCCAGGGCTGGCTGGCTCTGCAGGCCTCCCCTCTCCCGCTGTGCCCTGCCCACCCCTCAGCAGCTCCCACCCACGGCTGGGGCCGAGGGCAGCAGAGAGGGCCTTGTGGGGGTCTGTCCTCTCTTGGACTGTCCCTTCCCTGGTTGCAGCAGCAGCACCAGGCGGTGTTTTCTAAGAAATGTCTTTATTTGGCCCAGGATGGCGCGGAGCCCCCCGCACTGCAGTTCCTTTAGACACCGCAGCGCTCACAGACCAGCACAGCCCGCACACACTGCCCCATTTTGAGATGCCATCTTTTCTGACCGCACAGGACAAGCAGCCTTCGGCCGCAGCCTGAGCTTGGGGCCCAGCACCGACCCTGCGGCGTCCTCTGGACCCCGCTGCTCTGGGCAGGTAGGTCCTGGAGATGGTCAGTGATGGTCGGCCACAAAGCGCTCAGTGTGCACCATGGATCCAGTGACCACACCAGACATCTGTGACTGGCCACAGCAAGAAGCAGAGCTGGAGCCAGAAGCCTGGCTCCTGGAGCCAGAAGCCTCCAGCAGGCTGGAGGCCAGCTTGGGCAAAAAGTTAGTGAGACCTCATTCAGCACAATAAGGTGGGTGTGATGGTGTGTGCCTATCATTGTAGCTATTTTGCAGGAAAAAGTAAGAGGATAATGGTCCCATGGTAGCCCAGGCAAAAACTCAGGACCCTACCTGCAAAATAACTAAAGCAAAAAGGGCTAGAGGTGTGCCTCACTTGGTAAGAAGCTTGCCCAGCAAGCATGGGCCTTATGTTTAAAACTTTGTACTGCCCAAACAAAAATAAAAGCCAAAACAAAAGCAAAGGTAGAAAAGAAGATAAAAAGAAAGGAAGGAAGGAAGGAAGGAAGGAAGGAAGGAAGGGAAGGAGGGAGGAAACAATTCTAGCTGGGCTCTGGTAGCTCACACCTGTATTTCTTGCTACTCAGGAGTCTGAGATCTGAGGACTGAGGTCCAAAGCCAGCCTGGTCTGGAAAGATCATGAGATTCTTATCTCCAGTTAACTACCAAAAAGCTGGGAATGGCCTTGTGGAGCAAAGTGGTAGAGCTCTAGACATGAACGCAAAAGCTCAAGAACAGGCTGGGAAGTAGCATGTATGAAGCCCTGGGTTCGATTCCTCAGCACCACATACACAGAAAAAGCCGGAAGTGGTGCTGTGGCTCAAGTGGTAGAGTGCTAGCCTTGAGCAAAAGAAGCTCAGGACAGTGCCCAGGCCCTGAGTTCAAGCCCCAGGACTGGCAAAAAAAAAGAAAAAAAAGAAAGCTCAAGAACAGTGCCCAGGATCCTTTTCTTTTTTTTTGCTGGTCCTTGAGCTTGAACTCTGGGAACTAGGCACAATTTGAGTTTTTGTGCTCAAGGCTAGCACTCTACCCTTTGAGCCACAGCTCCACTGGTAGTTTATTATGTGGTGGGGTGGGTGGATGAGCAGCAGGGAGGGGTGCTTGCAGCTATATTAAGGCTCCTGGTTCAGCGGGCTTCCGCCCAAAGGAGAGAAGGTTAAATTGAGCAGCTCTGACTGCCCAGCAGGCATACCACCCCCCATCCTGGTCCATCCAGAACAGTGAAGGGGAAATGGGGCGGGGGAGGGAGGGGCCTGGGAGGGGCCGCCCCCACTGTGACCAGGCCTCCCTAACCCTCTGTGATCCTCCAAGCCCTCTGCTCCACTGCAGGGGACTTCACCTGTCCTGTCCCTCTGGCTGCCAACACCTCCCTGACTTGGCCCTTGCCTGCTGTGGCCCCTGATGGGGCTTCTGTATGGGTGCTTGGGTTACAGACACTAGTCACAGGCATTCCTCCCTCTACAGATGGGGAAACTGAGGCTCAGGCGTCAGGGCTGTGGCTGGTGCACGGCAGTGGGCATGCTCCTGTGCCCAGCCCTCGTTCAGCCCTCTGTGGCCCAGTGTTCTCCTCCGGGAGGAGGAAGGCCAAGCCCACGTCCATGCAGGGGTCAGGGCAGTCCTCAGGAGTCACACCACTGCCCGCAGGTCTCTCCACCTTCTGGGCCTGAGACCCCTGTGGTGGGTCTTTCTCAGAAGTTCTGGGGTGTGAATTTAGGATCTCACACCTGCTAAGCTGGTGCTTCACTACTTGAACCATGACTCTAGTCCTGTGCTTTGCCGGTTATTTTTGACATAGGGTCTTGTTCTCGCCTGGGCTTGTGTCTGAGCCGAGATCTGTCTCCTTCCGGCCTCCTGCTGCTGCTGACAGGCTGAGGGGCTGCCGGGGTTTTCCCACCAGCGACTGGGATGGCTGCGGTCAGCGGGCGCCCGTGGTGGTCGGCTTGGCGGACTGATGGTCTCCCAGGCTAGTGAGGCCCTCTGGAGGTGTCTGGGGACCCTGCCAGAGACAGTCAGATGCTGAGGGCTGTCACCTCACCGGGGAGTTCACCCTCCGGGCGGTGTGCACGGCAGGGCGCCCGGAGGAGGGGGCCGGTGGGTCCCCGAGGGTGCAGCTGGCCCTTCCTGCCCCTTTCTGCTCCACTCCCCGCCATGACGGACTGCTGCCCAAACCTTCTTCCCTTCCAGCTGTTCCACTGCAACAGATGCCGCTCCTTGGCTGGGGCCGGGTGCTGGGCGCGGCGGGCTTCACCTCCCCAGAGATGCAGGCCTGAGTCTGACTAGGCCGACTGTCCTCATGGCACTGCGGACCGTTGGTGGACCGCCGGAGGCCTGCGGGGCCCTGGCACTGGGCAACGGGGCGGTACCCCCTTGTGAGACCCAGGTGGGCCAGAGGTGGGTCTGAGGGCCCTGGCGGCCAGGACGGGGGCGTGGCTGCCAGGAAGGGGGCATGGCAGTCAGGACGGGGGCGTGGAGGCCAGGGCAGGGTGGTGGAGGCCAGGATGGGGGGCGTGGCTGCCAGGCAGGGGCGTGACTGTCAGGAAGGGGGCGTGGCTGCCAGGCCGGGGGCGTGGCGGTCAGGAAGGGGGTGTGGTGGCCAGGGGCAGTCCTGGTCCGGGTCCCCTTCGTCTGAGTGAGCCTTTCACCTCTCCTCATCTGGCCTCATCACTCGTGAATGGGCCTCAGCAAACCGCAGCAAGAGCTGTGCCTGTGCACAGCGCCCAGGCTGGTGGCCGCAGAGGGCGGAGGCCAGACCGGCTTCCTGCCCTGAGCCCAGGACCTCATGCAGGGCACCTGGAGGCTGACCGCAGCCCCTCGCAGCGCGCCCTCCGGGCCTCAGGCCCCACGGGGAGCCGCTCTCCCCACAAAGGTCCTATCCCGAGACTGAGCTGAACGTGTGGCTCTAAATGGGAGGTGCACTAGGGGCCGGCTTGCCGCTGTGCTATCGTGGGATGGCAGTATTCAAAAGATTGCTAAAATCATGGTGACGGAATTGTTTGTTTTTGTTTTAAAGCACTGTAGAAGGCATCACATTTTAAAAGTCCATGTTTCTGGCTCCCTTGGACAATCATGTCCTGCTGGAGAAAGTTAGCAATCAATGGGTGTAGCCCCCAAGGACGCCCCCTTTCCTCCCCTCCCTCCGCATCCCCGGCATCAGGTCCTCCGCAGCTAAGCTCCAGCCCAGAGACAGAGCTGGAGGACCAGGCTGCTGCGGGAGGGGTCTGCTGGGAAAGCAGCCTGACTGACAGTCCCAGCTGAGCTAGCTCTGAGGCCCTGCCACCTCCACTGCAACCCCCAAACTCTGCGTGGGGCTCAACAAGGCCTGCAGATGCTTTCTGCTACCTGCCAGCAATGGTCACGGCAAAAGGGTTCTATCAGAACAAGGCCCTTCACGGCCTTCTCTGGAATAAACATCGAAATAAATACACAAGTTCATGATGATTGCAAGGTGGACGGCGTTCCCTTGAGGGTGATGTCCAGTTCTGTGTGCAACCTGCACACATGCCTGGCCCTCCTGACCCTTTGAAGGGCCAGCACTCTGCACCATGGCTCCCTCCAGCCAACGTGGGGACCTTGGGGTTCGAGGAGGCCTGTGTCCACCCCTCACCTTGTTGCCTTCCTTGCCTCGGGTTTTGTTTTGCTTGGACACCTACCACAACCTGGAACAGTGTGGATGGTGAGCGGGAGCAAGAGTTCAAGTGGCTGAGGGCAGCAGAGAGGCTTCTGCAGGGCTTGGGGAGCCCCTAGCTGTCCATGTGGGCCGCAAGCCCTTTCCTCAACCATCTTCTTGCTCTGGTTAGTTCACAAAGTGCCACGCTGTGGAACTTGTGGCTCCTTTGGGAGGTTGGCTCTCCCGTGGGCCTGGTGGTCTCTGCTGTGCTGGAGTGAGGCAGGTGCAGGGGTGGATGTGGGCTGCTCTGGGGATGCTGCACCAGTGCTAGTTTGACGGGGTCCTAGGCCAAGGCCAGAGCACACCAGGCGTCCTGGCGCGGGGCCCCTCCAAGGCCGTCCTGAGGGCCCAGGGCTGTGGATGGGAAGGCAAAGTCCTCGGGCTCAAACTTGAACTCCAGGTGGCTGGGGGCCAGGGGGTCCTCCACCTGGCCGGATGCCTGCAGGGAGGACCGGGTGTTAGAATGCAGAGGTTGCACTGGCATCCCAGCGCGGTGAGCCTCCACACGGGGCTCTGGCTGCAGCCGCAGCAGGCTCGTGGGAAGGGCGCCACACTGGTGGCTGAGGCTAACTCCAGGAAGGGCCCCTGGGGTTCCCACCAGGCCTGGGTTGGCCAAGAAGTCAGCCAGGGTTCTCTGGGGCCCGGCCACAGGTCCTTGTTACCTGGGAGGTCATGCTGGGCCCGGAACACGTGGGGGACGCCAGGCTGGCCTCTGTTTTCAAAGTGGCGGCTGAGCTGTCTGTGCTGGGGACGGCAGACGGGGAAGCTGTCATGTTCGCTGTGGATCCTGGGAGGAAGGGGGTGGGGGTACTCACAGAAAGCAGATGCCAGATCTGGCCACACTTCCTGCCACGTGGCCCAGGGAGGTTTGGAGACTCCTTGGGATCACACAGCAAGCCCGGGGTGGGGGCTGGCGTGGCTTCCTCCACTGTGCTCACCCCACTCACCACAGCTAGCCAAGGCCCCCCCCGAAGGCCGGACGCCACGCACTCCACACCTGAGGAGCCCTTGGTCTTGGCTGTGTTCTTGGGCTTCCGTTTCCGCGTCTGAATACTTTCTTTTTTCATTGCCAGTGGCCGTGGCACCTGGAAGGAATGTGGGGTAGGGGGAGTCTGCTCACTTAGTCCATGCTTACCCCTGGGGCCCCCTCCCCCAGAACGGGTCCTCCTGGACTCCTGGGCCTGGCCCATCCTGAACAGCCCTATCTGCTCAGTGTCACCTCTGGGGCCACGTGGGCTCGGGCACAGGGGGTGTCACAGGGACAGACCAGGGTGTCCGGGGCTGCCAGGTGGCATGGCTGTGTCTGTCTGCACGGTGGGCGGGGCAGTGCCTGCTGTCAACAGGTGCACAGCCACCTCGGCCAGGCACCCAGTAGCCCTCAGCCACCTGCCTGCCCCCCGCCAGGCACCCAGCAGCCCTCAGCCACCTGCCTGCCCCCCGCCCCTGGGAGCCCGCCAGGCACCCAGCAGCCCTTAGCCACCTGCCTGCTCCTCTGCCCCCGGGCGCCCGCCAGGCACCCAGCAGCCCTCAGCCACCTGCCTGCCCCCTGCCAGGCACCCAGCAGCCCTCAGCCCCCCGCCAGGCACCCAGCAGCCCTCAGCCACCTGCCTGCCCCCTGCCAGGCACCCAGCAGCCCTCAGCCCCCCGCCAGGCACCCAGCAGCCCTCAGCCACCTGCCTGCCCCCCCGCCAGGCACCCAGCAGCCCTCAGCCACCTGCCTGCCCCCCCGCCAGGCACCCAGCAGCCCTCAGCCACCTGCCTGCCCCCCGCCCCTGGGAGCCCGCCAGGCACCCAGCAGCCCTCAGCCACCTGCCTGCCCCCGGCCCCCAGGCGCCCACCAGGGACGCGCTGGCGCCCACTCACCCCGTGCAGCTTCATGTAGAGGCCGCAGGCGTTGCACACCGGCTCGCCCTCCGCGTTGCGCCGCCAGAGCGTGGTGGTGGCCGTGTGGCAGTTGGAGCAGCAGAGGCCACTGCGGCGGGAGGAGGACTGTAGTGATGGAGCCAGTGTGAACCCCGGCCAGGGACCGCGGCGCCTGGGCTCGGGGCTGGGGAGGGGCTGGCTGCCCCTGTGAGCAGCGAATGCTGACTGCAGCGGAAAGCACGGAAGCTAGACTCAGGACTGACTGGCAGCTAAAGGGGCTCCACACCAGGGCGGGTGGGGCATTTAGAGTCCATGAGGTTGCCAGTCCTGCCTCTGACCGGCTGAGGACATGGTCTCCCTGCTCCTCTAAGCCCTCCAGCCCAGGACAGGTCCCTCCGCCTCTCTGTCTCTGCTTCCCGCTGGTAAAGGCGCGTGGGCCTTCCACAGTGGGCTGTGGCGCCCCAGCCATGAAGACACAGACATGTGGCTGTCATTTTTCTGGCCTTTCACCTACCCTGCATGGCTGGGTGGGGGCCTGGAAGGGGCCTGTGGCTTTGGGGTTCTGCTTCCACACATACCATATGGGGGAGTAGAACCCCAAAGCCACAGGCCCCTTCCAGAGGCCAGACCCAAGGGCAAGCTCACGGCTTGCTGTTCCCTGGGAACACTCTCCCTAGCTCCCCAGTGGATGGGGCCAGGCCTCTGTCCCCAGCAACCAGTGGACGGGGTGGTGGTGGATGGTGTAGGTGGTGGTAGATGAGGGTAGGTGGTGGTGGACAGGGTGGTGGTGGATGGGGTAGGTGGTGGATGGGGTAGGTGGTGGTGGATGGGGTAGGTGGTGGATGGGGTAGGTGGTGGTGGATGGGGTAGGTAGTGGATGGGGTAGGTGGTGGATGGGGTAGGTGGTGGTGGATGGGGTAGGTGGTGGATGGGGTAGGTGGTGGTGGATGGGGTAGGTGGTGGTGGATGGGTGTAGTGGTAAGGGGTAGGTCGTGGTGGATGGGGGTAGAGGGAGGTTGATGGGGGGGTAGGTGGTGGTGGGTGGGGGTAGAGGGAGGTTGATGGGGGGTAGGTGGTGGTGGATGGGGTAGGTGGTGGTGGATGGGGTAGGTGGTGGATGGGGTAGGTGGTGGTGGATGGGGTAGGTGGTGGTGGATGGGGTAGGTAGTGGATGGGGTAGGTGGTGGATGGGGTAGGTGGTGGTGGATGGGGTAGGTGGTGGATGGGGTAGGTGGTGGTGGATGGGTGTAGTGGTAAGGGGTAGGTCGTGGTGGATGGGGGTAGAGGGAGGTTGATGGGGGGGTAGGTGGTGGTGGGTGGGGGTGCATGGTGGTGGACTGGGGTAGGTTGTGGTGGGCGGCAGTAGGTGGTGGGTAGTTTGGGGGTAGATGGTGTCAGGTCTCTGCTCTCAGCCTCTATTCTACCTTTGTGTGCACTGCCCCCTGGACAGGGTACCAAGCCATGCAGAGGTGCTGTGTGCCCACCCGGCCCGTGGCTCCCAGCAAAGACTGACCCCTGTGCCCAATCCCACCAGAGCCCCCAGACCTCCCAGCACTGCGGCCTCCAGGATCCTGAGCCATGGGTCTGCTGGGACTCTGGGATCTAGACCTAGCAAGATGTTGGTGGCTCATGCTATAATCCTAGCTACTGAGGCTGAGATCTGAGGATCGTTGTTTGAAGCCAGCCTAGGCAGAAAAATATGAGCAATCCTACCTCTAATTAACCAACTAAAGGGCAGAAGTGGAGCTACAGCTCAAATGGCAGAGCACGGCCTTGAGCCAAGTGAGACCAGGGCCCTGAGTTTAAGCCCCAGTGCTCCCACGGGGGAAAACACCCCAAACACACAGACCTCGGCAACAAGGCTGGAGCTGCTGCCGCCCCAGGCCCAGCCACCTGCCCAGCCACGTCCCCAGTACAGCTCTGCCTCTCCTCTGCCTGGCCCTGGACCACACCCTGACCACGTCCGTCCCCGCTGCCCAGGCTGCAGATGAGGTGGGCTGTTCTCCCCACAGAGCATGATGGACACAGCCATGTCCCCAGCTGACTGGCCTGGCTGTGGAGACCCTCAGGAGTCCACTGACAGTGAGAGGCTTGGCGCCTCAGCCAGGGCTGCAGGCCCAGGCCCTCAGCGCACTGGGACAATCGGCAGCCAGTCCTTTGTTAGGCCGTCCCCTGCCCAGCTGGGGACTGTTTACGCAGCTGAAATCCACACCTGTTGGGTGTTCTGAATGTGACTCACGCAGGTCCCACTGCGGCCCCCACCTCCTGCAGTCTCCTTAGAGCGAGGAGAGCCACAGCCAGAGGTCCCTCTCTCCCTGACCCAGCCTGGGCCCCCAGGCACTTCGACACACATGCGTGTGTGTGCATACGCATGCCTACCTACATGCACACCTACAAGGGCGTGTGCATGTTACCCCAAGCCCTGCACAGTTGCCTGTTGCACACACGGAGCTGGTGCAGGCATGCAGTGCTCATGGGACAGAAAGCTCCCGGGGCGGGGGAGGGGGACGACAGGAAAGTCCGAAGAGACCTTTGAGTCTTTCTACAGCGACTGCTTTACTTCTATAAAGTTAAGGGCATGAGGGAATAGAATAGTCTCAGAAATGTGTCCTCACCTATCTCTTCCTGAACCTCACAACGGCTGTCATCTAGGAGGGAAACTAAGGCTCAGAGGTGCTGAGGGTCCAGAGCAGAGGGGGGCCCTGGTAGAACTTCCCCCTCTGCTGAGCACTGTGGGCGTACTCCCAACCCCCACCCTGACGAGGCCGCTGGCAGCCATCTGTCCACAGGGCACCCAGGCTGGCTGCTCTCAGGCCGCCCCACGCCAGGCCTCTCCTGGCTGCCTTTCTATTTTTTTTTTTTTTTAAGATGTTCTTTTTGAAAGAAGTTACTCTTCACGTCCAGCTCATCCAAGCCAGAGCCTTACCAAGCACCGGCCTTGTGTACATCTGAAGCTTCCACATAAACCATACGGTGAGCAGGCACCCTGGCTCTCGCCTGCAATCCCAGCGACTCAGGAGGCTCAGATCTGAGGATCAAAGCCAACCTGGGCAGGAAAGTCCGAGAGACTCTTACCTCCAATGAACCACCAGAAAACCAGACGTGGCGCTGTGGCTCAAAGTGGTAGAGCACTAGCCTTGAGCAAAAGAGCTCAGAGACAGTGCCCAGGCCCCAAGTTCAAGCCCCATGACCGACAAAAAGAAGTCAGTATGGTGGGTAGGGTGGATGTGGGCAGCACAGCCATGTGGTACTGTGGAGGGAACGGGCTGGAGGCCAGCTTGGGGGGGGAAGCAGAGGTGGAGCGCCAAGGGCAGAAGCTGTGGGTCACGGGGGTCTCTGCTATTGAGGGGCTCCTTTGAACCTGGATGGTCTCCACGAGCGGCGGGCACAGCCAGTCAGGGCCCTGGGCATGGGTGGGGGTCTCCGCGGTTCAGCACACAGCACACATTTAGCCGGCAAAGCACTGTGCTTGCTGCCTGAGGGCCAGGGGGCTTGCAGTGTGAGTCTCGAGGAGCGCAGGGAGAACTTGGGCTGAGTGAGCCTCGAAGGCCGAGCCGTCAGGGGCCAAGCTTACTTGCTGGCCCTCGTGACACTGGAGCTGGCACTAGAGTGAGCCTTGGGCTGCACACCTGCTGCCCGCTCTGGCCGTGGCTGGTGGGCTCTGGGCTGCAGCCGAGGCTCTGGTGCTCAGGGCAGTGGGCCTTGTCTGCGCATGGAGAGGGGGGTGCACTGCACAGCAGAGGGGTGTGGGGGGTCCCAGGGCCACTGTGGTGCTTGTCCCCACAGATCCCAGGTCTAAGGTATGAGGCATGCAGGAAAGCCAGGGAGCCTTGGTGCGGGGGAGGGGTGGGGTGGAGGGTGGAGGAGGGGAGAGGGACGCAGAGCGGCTTTTTGTCCCTTTCCCGTGTTCTTCTTGGTGACATGCCTACAATACTTATCATCATCCAGGACAGGTTTCTGCTGAGCAGGGGTCTGGCCACACCCTATGGTGAGTGTGGCTCAGCCGTGGGAAGTCTGGGTGAGGTGCTCCAGCCCAGACCCACAGCCCAGGGCCGGGGGCCCAGGGTCTCAGACTCTCAGGGCATCTATATCAAGCCTGGGCAAGGACAAGGGCTTAGCTCCCTGAGCTTTGTGGGGCCCCAGAGCTAGTCAAGGAGACCCCAGCTTCTCCCGGGAAAAAAGGGGAGCAGGGAGCACCCAAAGGCCCCGCCTGGCAAACACATCCTCAGCCTGTTCCATGACCAGGGCTGGACTAGGCCTGGATCCCAGGCTGCCGGGCGCTCCACTCTCCAGGGCCTGTGGTCCTGGGGAGGGGCAGGTGGGCAGGGATGCCTGGCCCAGGAAGCCTTCCCAAAGCTCCACCCCAAAGCCAGCCAAGACCTTCCACCAGCTCCACCACCTGTCCACCGAGGTCTCTACAGCACAGCATGGGACTGCTCCCAACCGTCCTGCTTCCTGCAGCTCTGAGTCTGCCACCCTGGGCTGTGGCTCGGGCAGCCCTGAGCAGGGCTGGGCTCTGCCTCTGCCTCCACGCTCAGCCTGGGGCCCCGGGTTTTGGGTGTGGTGTGCGTGTGTGTGTGTGTGTGTGCGTGTGTGCGCGCACGTGTGTGTGTGTGCGCGCGTGCGTGCGCATCTCTGTGAGGAGACAATAGCTATCTCCTGACCCTCCTGCCTGCTGGTTCATCCTGGTGCCTGGTCAGGGACTGGAATGGCAAGGGGGGAGGTGGACAAAGCCGAGGGGGCAGGTCTGCGGCCTGGGGAGGCTATGCCGGGCGGTCTGGGGTTCAGTCTCACAGGATCTGCGCCAGCTCTCTGTCCCTTTAATCCTGTTTCTCTCTGTGATGGTCACTAGGAAGCCGGACTAGGTGGTACTCACGGGGAGTGATGCGAGCAGATCCCCTGGGGAAGGGACCGGAGGGTGAAACAGGGTGTAGGGGAGCCCTCCCGGGAGAGACGGCTGGTGTCTGTGTGTCCAGCTCCTGCTTCCTGCCTGCCTCCTCGTGCTCAGCCAGGCCGGCCCCCAGCACAAGGTACCCCCGAGTTGCGGCCAAGGACCAGAGCGGGCTACACCCCAGCCCCGTCAGCTTCCCACCAGGTGCCTCGGGCTCACACCCCTACAGCAGAGGGCTCTGGGCCCACAACAGCCCTGCACAGGCTGGAGACCGACGGGGGCCACCACTGACCCGGTAACTCAAAAGCTCCTTTGTACACTTGAGTTAAGGGTTGGCCTGTGAGATGCTACAGCACAAAGCTTCTTGACCCCTCTGCCTGGGGCCTGGGGGCCCCTTGTCTCCCCAGCCCCACGCACGCACGCACGCCAGCAGGAACCGAAAGTGAAAACAAGTTCAATCAATAAGGAAGGGAGCCCCCTGAGGCCTGGTTTCCCAGAGACCCCTAAAAGTATGGGAGGAGAGTGCTCCCCAGGGTCGAAGGCCCGAAGATCCTCTCATTTAGGGACTTAACACGCACAGCAAAGCACCCCTCATCTCTGCTGGGTTCCATCCCCAGCCTGGCACTGGCCAGCCCGCGGCCATCACGGCCCAGTGACAAGGCTGTGCCCTCTGTGGCTGAGTGCTGAGCAGCCTGGCAGCACTGCAGGCCCCAAGTTCCGGGGCTGCTCAGGCTGAGCACATTAAGAGACCCTGCCTGCTTCCTGCTTCCTCCGCCATGCCAGGGGTCTTGGGCTGCCTGGGCTTTCTCCTGGACATGAAATCCCACCTCACTCTGGGGAGGCCTGCGGGAGCCAGGCCACCCCGTGTCCCCCCCCCGGCCCCCCAGTCCCCGCGCACGGCAGCACTCACCAGCCGCTTCTGTGGCCGCACTAGCGGCCTGTTGACGCCGTTCATCTTGTGATAGAGGCCGCAAGCGTTGCACAGGTAGTGGCCGGTGCCGTCGCGGCGCCACAGCGGCGTGGACAGGGCCCCGCAGTTGACGCACTCCCGGCCCTCACCCGGGAACTCCTCCAAGAAGTCGGACACTGCTGGACGAGCAGCCCGTGAGTCCCGTCCTGGGCGGCTCCCGGGAGCCAGGGGGCTGCGGGCTGACCCCTCCTGCCTGTCCAGTGCCTGTCTCATTTCCCTTTTTCCTTTTATTCGTAGAGAGAGTTGCTGCTTTAATAAGGTAGCCAGAGTGTGAATAAACTGAACTTTAGAGATGGCCCCGGCCTGAACCAGGGGCTGCACACCCATCTGTAGTTTTAACCCGCTTGGGAAGCAGAAATGTCTCCCCTGGAGAAGGGAAGGGACCAAAGGGCACTGCCCCATGCCACTATGTCCCCTCCCTGGCCCCCTAACTCCTCCTGCACCTCCTCTGCAAAGTGGAGGGGAGGTGGGTTGAGAGAACAAGATCTAAGAAGGGCTCTGGTGGCCTTACTGTCAGCTTTGTTGTGGTCACAACCACAGGACAGCACAGCTTCACCCACACCAGCAGGGTGAAGGGCTGCTCAGCCCCTCCAGGCCCAGCCAGGCGCCAGCGGTGCGGGGCGGGGGCGGGGTGAGGATCAATCATCACCCAGCTGGGGGTGGGCGCCAGGCATGGGCCTGCGCTGGGCGCCTGGGCCAGGGGAGCCAAAAGGCAGCTAAAAAGCGGGGGACCAGCAGCAAGTCCCCCACCAGCCCAGGGAGGCTCAAGCAGAGGCGGGGGCCTCGGAGTGGAGACTGCTGCTTAAAATACTCAGAGACCGGGTGGAGCAATTGCCCGCTCCACAGGCCTGAAGCGGAAGGCCGGAACGCGCTCTCCCACCGAGCCACCAGAGCCCAGCCTGAGACTGGACGCAGGTTTTCTCCGGCAGCCTGCTTAAACAAGCCAGTATCCATCTACACCTTCCTCAAAACCAGTTCCCAACCGCACTCTCCCAAGAGGCACAACGGAGCGTGCTGTTTTGGGTTTAGTTGGATGAAAAGGCGGAAGTGAACGAGCTCTCTCGCTCCTTCCTTCCTTCCATTCCTTCCTTTCTCCTTTCCTTCCTCTCTCCTTTCTTCCTTTCTCTTTCCTTCCTTTCCTTCCTTCCTTTCCTCTGTCCCCTTCTCCTCCTCTCCTCTCCTTCTCTGTAGTAATGCTAGGAGAAAACCGGCCAGGCGGCCTCCCCGCGGGCACAGCCTTCCACCGGAGCTAAGGCCACCAAGAGCGGCCGGCCGCGGGGAGGGAGCGCGCTTCGCAGGGAGCGGGTTTGGCCCCGCGCGCCCGCGCCCGTACTCAGCCCGTACTCACCGAAGGCCGCCCTGCGGCCCGCGAGGGCGGCCGGGTGGCCCTGCAGGCCGTGCAGCCCGTCGAGGGGTCCGGCGGCCCAGGACGGAGCCACGTCGGGGCTCCCGTAGGCCGGGTAGGTCGTGGGGTACGAGGCGCCCGCGGGCCGCCCCAGCGCCGGGTACGGCTCCCGGGGCAGCAGCGACCCCGGGTAGGCGGCGCCGTCCCGGGGCCCCGCGCCGCCCCCGCCGCCGCCGCCGGGGCCCGGGGAGCCGTGCGCGAAGGGGAACGCGGGGGCCCCGGGCGGCTGCGCGCTGCCCGGCCCGAAGGCGGCGTCCGCGGGGCCCGCGGGGGCCCAGGCCGCGTGCGCGGCGAGCGCGGGCGGCTGCGGGCGCGGCTCGCAGCCCGGCAGGTAGGGCAGCGCGGGGGGCGCGCGCGGCGGCGCGAACATCGGGGCGCCGGCGCCCGGCAGGAAGGCGCCCGGCTCGGCGAAGGGGGCCCGGCCGGGGCTCGCGGCCAGCGCCAGGCGCGGGTACATCCTCGCGCGGTCCTGCCCTGCGGGGAAGAGCGGCGGGCGTCGCGGTCACCGCGGGGCGCGCGTGGCGCCCGCCTGGGGCCCGGCAGGTGCGGCCTCCGGCGCGCGCGGCGGGCGGCGCCCGGCGGACCCGGGGCCGACGGGAGGGCCGGCCCGGAGCGGCGGGCGCTGCGTCCCGCCGCGGGGCCCCCTCCTCCGCGGCCCGGGCCCGGGGTGTCGGGCTGCTCGCGCGGGGCGGCGCGCGCCGCGGCGTGGGGAGCGGTGGCCGAGGCGCCGGGCCGGCCCGGGGCACTCACCGGGGCAGGGCCGGCGCGGCGCCCGCCGAGGTCAGTCGGGAGCGCGGGGCCCGGAGCCGGCCCGGGGCGGCTCTGCAGGGGACTGGGGCGCCCGGCCACCCCGCGCGCCCCGCCCCGCGCGCCTGCCCCTCCCTCCCGGAGGCCGCCCCTCCCTCGCCGCGGGGTCAGCGCCCGGCTTGGGCAGGGGTGCCACGTGACCCGGGCGGGCCGCCGGCGGCGGGACGGGCGCGGGGGTCGCTCGGGCCACCCGCGGAGCGAGGAGAGGGCCGGGCTGGCTCGGAGCACGGACCTCACCCGTCCATCCCTCTGTCCGTCCGCAGCCCCAGCGCCCCGATCCCTCCCCGCCGGGCCCGCGCCGGCGCGCGGGGCTGTGGACACGCGGGACTGGGGGGGGGGGCATGTCGCTTTCCGCACTCCCGGAGGAGCTCAGGATCTGCTCAATTGTGCGGACCGCCGGCCTGGCTCGGGCAATGTAGCACCCACCGGGCACACTGGCTGGGTATACCACTGGCCAGCCTGCGCTCTCGTCCCTGGGAGCCTCACAGTGTCCCCCGTGCCAGCCATCAGTACTACCGGAGCACCAGTCCCAACGGGGCCCACGGGCCATGGGGCCAGCCCCAGAGGGCCTTGGGGCCCTGCAGCTCCCAGCGCCCAGCCTACGGTAAGGCGGTCAGGGAGGTAAGACCCCCTGGGACTCGGGCAGGCGAGGCCCCGCGTGCAGGGTGTCCCCACCCCCTTCATGGGTGGCTTGGGTCTCCTGGCCGCACCATTAGGTCCCGGAGGGATAGCACAGCGGCCAGAAGACCAGAGCGGCCCTGGGCATCGCCCTCAGCTCAGCTGGGCTCAGGGGGTGGGGGAAGGCTGGGCTGTCTCTTGGGATTAAGGGTGGGGGTGGAGTCTGGCTGGAAGCTGGGAAGGCCTCGGGCAGGCACAACCCCCACTTGTACTCTAGGCCTGGTGGTTTCACCAAGAGATCAAGACTCTGTGAGAAGACAGGCTGGGGTGCAGGAATCTGTGCCCCTCCAGCCCTTGCCCTTCACCCTTCAACCCCCGCCCCACACACCTCCCCCAACTCCACTCCTCTAGCTCTACTGCATGCAGAACACTGTTGCAGGCTTTGTCTGTGTGGGGAGCTTCCTCACCTTTGAAGGGACCCCAAGGACTCCAGGCCCTGCAGCTAGAGAGCTCTGTGTCCCCATCCCAGAGCCACAGCTGTGCTGCTTTGCTGCGCTGAATTCTGGATCCTTAGCAAAGTGGGGAGATGCTCCTGGGAGCTGGCATGAAGTAAAGAGGGGCAGGTAACTTGCTGGGGGCTGAGCACCCCACAAAGAAAGTTCTGGAGGAAAAGGATAGACGTGGAAAACCTGGGCTCCTGCTCCCAGGCTGCAGAAGGACTTGGAGTTTTTGCTTGGAATACAATCTGTGAAGACCAGAAGTAGAAAGGAGCATTTTTATTTTTACCTGGAGAGCTCACGTTTTAGTTCTCACACTAACCTCTCTAGGGAGCAGATACTGTTAATACTTCTGCTTAGGAAGGAGATCTCACCTTTTGAGGGCTTCTAGGAGTGGGGACCAGGATCAACGGGGGAGGGGCGCACCCGGCCCGACACTGGCTGTGATGGTATCTGATGCCTTAACTGGACCCTTCTTGATTCAAGCCCCAAAGCCCAGGTCTCAGCACTGTGACGTGGGCTCCCGGCCCCTCAGGAGGGAGCAGGCCCCACGTCAGGCGCCTGGCCCAGCAGCCCGGCTCCATTTCCTGCTGTCCAAGTGGTGACTCCCTGCTCTTCCAGACCCTCCCGGCACGGCTGTCTGGCTGCGGGGGGTCTGGCAGTGGGACACTAGCGCCTGCCCCCACAGTGACTTTGGGGAGGAATTAGTGGGACCAGGGACCAGGAGCGCCTGGCCTGGCCTGGGTGGAGCGCTGGCACTCGGCACACCTTGGTGAGGCCTCCCTCCAGCAGGTGGATGGAGGGGAGCCCTGGAGCCAGGACCACACTGCTGTGAGCAGAGGAACAGGAGGAGTTTTTGCCTGGCCCATCATGACCTCACACTGCCCCCTGTCATGATGTCACACTGCCCCTGTCATGACGTCACACTGCCCCTGTCATGACCTCACACTGCCCCTGTCATGACGTCACACTGCCCCTGTCATGATGCCACACTGCCCCTGTCATGACGTCACACTGCCCCCTGTCATGATGTCACACCGCCCCCTGTCATGACGTCACACTGCCCCTGTCATGATGTCACACTGCCCCTGTCATGACGTCACACTGCCCCATGTCATGATGCCACACTGCCCCTGTCATGACGTCACACTGCCCCCTGTCATGATGTCACACTGCCCCTGTCATGACGTCACACTGCCCCCTGTCATGATGTCACACTGCCCCGTCATGATGTCACACTGTCCCTGTCATGACGTCACACTGCCCCTGTCATGACCTCACACTGCCCCTGTCATGACCTCACACTGCCCCTGTCATGATGTCACACTGTCCCTGTCATGACGTCACACTGCCCCTGTCATGACCTCACACTGCCCCTGTCATGACCTCACACTGCCCCTGTCATGATGTCACACTGTCCCTGTCATGATGTCACACTGCCCCTGTCATGACGCCACACTGCCCCTGTCATGACGTCACACTGCCCCTGTCATGATGCCACACTGCCCCTGTCATGATGTCACACTGCCCCCTGTCATGACGTCACACTGCCCCTGTCATGACGTCACACTGCCCCCTGTCATGACGTCACACTGCCCCTGTCATGATGTCACACTGCCCCTGTCATGATGTCACACTGCCCCTGTCATGACGTCACACTGCCCCCTGTCATGATGTCACACCGCCCCCTGTCATGACGTCACACTGCCCCTGTCATGATGTCACACTGCCCCTGTCATGACGTCACACTGCCCCTGTCATGATGTCACACTGCCCCCTGTCATGACGTCACACTGCCCCTGTCATGATGTCACACTGCCCCTGTCATGATGTCACACTGCCCCTGTCATGACGTCACACTGCCCCCTGTCATGATGTCACACCGCCCCCTGTCATGATGTCACACTGCCCCTGTCATGATGTCACACTGCCCCTGTCATGATGTCACACTGCCCCGTCATGACGTCACACTGTCCCTGTCATGACGTCACACTGCCCCTGTCATGACCTCACACTGCCCCTGTCATGATGTCACACTGTCCCTGTCATGATGTCACACTGCCCCTGTCATGACGCCACACTGCCCCTGTCATGACGTCACACTGCCCCCTGTCATGACCTCACACTGCCCCTGTCATGATGTCACACTGCCCCTGTCATGACGTCACACTGCCCCTGTCATGACGTCACACTGCCCCCTGTCATGACGTCACACTGCCCCTGTCATGACGTCACACTGCCCCTGTCATGATGTCACACTGCCCCTGTCATGACGTCACACTGCCCCTGTCATGACGCCACACTGCCCCTGTCATGATGCCACACTGCCCCTGTCATGACGTCACACCGCCCCTGTCATGATGTCACACTGCCCCTGTCATGACGTCACACTGCCCCCTGTCATGACGTCACACTGCCCCCTGTCATGATGTCACACTGCCCCGTCATGACGTCACACTGCCCCTGTCATGATGTCACACTGCCCCTGTCATGATGTCACACTGCCCCTGTCATGATGTCACACTGTCCCTGTCATGATGTCACACTGTCCCCTGTCATGACGTCACACTGCCCCTGTCATGATGTCACACTGCCCCCTGTCATGATGTCACACTGCCACTGTCATGACGTCACACTGCCCCTGTCATGACGTCACACTGTCCCTGTCATGACGTCACACTGCCCCCTGTCATGACGTCACACTGCCCCGTCATGATGTCACACTGTCCCTGTCATGACGTCACACTGCCCCTGTCATGACCTCACACTGCCCCTGTCATGACCTCACACTGCCCCTGTCATGATGTCACACTGCCCCTGTCATGATGTCACACTGCCCCTGTCATGACGTCACACTGCCCCGTCATGATGTCACACTGTCCCTGTCATGACGTCACACTGCCCCTGTCATGACCTCACACTGCCCCTGTCATGACCTCACACTGCCCCTGTCATGATGTCACACTGTCCCTGTCATGATGTCACACTGCCCCTGTCATGACGCCACACTGCCCCTGTCATGACGTCACACTGCCCCCTGTCATGACGTCACACTGCCCCTGTCATGACGTCACACTGCCCCCTGTCATGACGTCACACTGCCCCTGTCATGATGTCACACTGTCCCCTGTCATGATGTCACACAGCCCCTGTCATGACGTCACACCGCCCCCTGTCATGACCTCACACTGCCCCTGTCATGACGTCACACTGTCCCTGTCATGACGTCACACTGCCCCCTGTCATGACGTCACACTGCCCCTGTCATGACGTCACACTGCCCCTGTCATGACGCCACACTGCCCCTGTCATGATGCCACACTGCCCCTGTCATGACGTCACACTGCCCCGTCATGACGTCACACTGCCCCTGTCATGATGTCACACTGCCCCTGTCATGATGTCACACTGCCCCTGTCATGATGTCACACTGCCCCTGTCATGATGTCACACTGTCCCTGTCATGATGTCACACTGTCCCCTGTCATGACGTCACACTGCCCCTGTCATGATGTCACACTGTCCCTGTCATGAT